GTCGAAGAGATACCTGCACTCCTATGTTTACTGCAGTTCTGTTTACAATAGCCAAGATATGAAACCAACCTAACCGTCCATCAATAGATGATTGGATAAGGAAACTGTGGTATATATACACTATGGAATACTACCCTGCCATAAAAAAGAATGAAATACTCCCATTTGCAACAACATGGATTAACCTGGAGAAACTTATGTTGAGTCAAACATGCAAAGCACAGAGGGAGAAATACCGCATGTGCTCACCCATATGGGGGAGCTAAGAGAGAAAGGGGGGCAGGAAAGAAAGACCACAGTAGTGTTGTGATCCAACAGAGGGAGGGAACATTTCTAGGGCTCCAAATTGGAGTTGAGGGGAGAGGGGGAAAGGGAGGGAGGTTGGGGGATAACTGGAAGGGGACAAAGTGTATAAAAGTAATTTCTGGTAATGGATATGCCCCAGTATGAATCTGGCCCCTACATCATGGACAGGAGGCGGGACAATCAGCTTTGTGTCTCATGAATATTCAAAATAAATAAATAAATAAATAAATAAGAAAATAACTATGGAGTGGGAATCTGGGGTAAGGTAGGGTGACATGGTAAATTGCAGTTTTTCTCATAAAAATTTTAAATTATGCATATGCACTACTAATTAAAAGAACCTATTAGTAAAATTTAATACAGTAACTGATTAGAGGAGAAAAGTGACAGTCATCTCAATAGATGCAGGAAAAAGTATTTGATAAAATTTGATACCCTGATTTTAAAAACTACCAAAAATTTCCCTTAGCAAACTAGGAAGAGAAGGGAATTCCTGTAACTTGATTCAGGTTATCTCTTAAAAACCATCAGGTACAGGACAAGAAGGCCACTGTCACCAGGTGTCCTGGCCAAGAAATTCAGACAAGGCACAGGAAGAAAAAGTTGCTCCTCATGACAGAAACAAAAACTCTCTGGTACCTACGGATGACTCTATAAAAAGACACACAATTTCCCAGTTGTGATACTGTACTACAGTTCTACGAAACATTATCATTGGTAGAAACTAGGTAAAGAGTATAAAGCATCTCTCCGTATTATTTCCTACTGCATGTGAATCTACAAATATTTCAAAATAAGTAGTACAAAAAGTACAATAAGCAAAGTCTTTATGATGAAAATTATATAACTTTACTGTAGGAAATAAAAGACCCAAGTATACAAGTGATATACCATGTACAGGGATGGTGAGACTCAGTATCAGCAAGATACCACTTCTCTCCAAATTATTCCATAAATTCAATGCATTTCTACTAAAAGGTCCAAACACATTTCTCGGTCTAATTTGATCAGCTAAATCTAAATTCACCTGAACAATAAAGAGTCAGGAACAGCCTAGACAACTTTGAAAAACAAGGAAGTGGAAGGGCTCACTCTAGTCAAGGTTTATTATAGAGCTGTGATATTTATACAAGTGAGGCCCTGGTACATGGAGAGACAAATACAGGAAAAGAATAGAAATAAAAGCCACAAACAGACCCTTTATAAGGGAACTTGACATACAAAAGAAGGCAGATTTCTAATCAGTAGGTAAAAAATGGACTATTCAAATAATAATGCTGGGACAACTTAGCATCATATGGTAAGCAGTCTAATTAGACCTTAGGGATAGGAAAGGACTTTTTAAGACCTCAAAAGACCAAACTACAATATAAATGATTGGTAAATTTGATTTTAGAACATGTGCAATTTTTATAAGACTAAAGAGACACACCGAAGTGAAGTATAAAAGCCTCTGTTAGACCAGTAGAAGAACACAAGTATATTCAGGAAAATATCTTGCATCACACTTTTAAACAAAACATAAAATATTTTCAAACCAACAGGTACATGTGGTAAAATTATAAATAGAAGCAAATAGAAGACATCCACCAACTTCAAGACTAGGTATTTTGTAGAGACAAGAGTAAGTGAAGATGGGAAGGAATTTCTTAAGCTGTATTTGTATTTTATTTCTTTTTAAAGATAGATTTGAAGATAGCAAAATGTTAACACCTATTAATTCTGGGTGTTGGGTATATATAGGTATCTGATATTTTCTGTATTCTTTAAAATTAAAAAAAACCCACATACAATAAAGCAAAGAAAACCAACAGAAGAACTAAAAATACTACAGATCAGACATTGGAAGCAAGGAGGGAGGTAGCGTAAGTGAACCGAAGTTTCACAATTCACATTGTGGGGGTCAACAGGTGTTGTCTATAGTTGGTGAATCAAGAAACAGTAGGGTAAGCATATTATTACTATCTTGAGTTATGAAAGTAACCTCTGACGGACCTAAAATCAGAAATAAACCAGGCGGGGAAAAGGCAGGAGTCTGTTGCTTTTCATTTTAACTGTGTCTTGACCATTTGAAATATAACCATGTGCATGCGTTAATCTGAAAAAAAGATTTTTTTTTTTTGAATAAAGGACAAACATTAATCTCCAAATTGGAGACTTTAAAAAATGCCC